TTTCTATTTTTAAGCTCCTACTGCAACATGGTATGGAAGTTTTTTGTAAATTTAGAAGAATGAATGTACATATATATATACATATATATATATATTAGTTTCTCAATTTAAGTGCATTCTTCCCAATTGATTACTTTTAATTGTAATTGAAGTATATGAAGATTTTCAAAGTTATGAAACGAAAATTCAACCATTCATTATTTCAAAAGTAACTTGGAAACAGATTATTTGTAATCAAAACATAATTTTCAATCTTTGTATTTATAATTGAGAAACTAATAAACACACACACACACACACACACACACATATATATATAGATATACTTTTTAAGAAAAAATATATTATTCTTATATTTTGTAAATATATATATATATACATATATTTCGTAATTTACCATCACCAAACAAATCCCAAAAATAATTATGTGGGGAGAGACAATATATATATATATATAGAGCAAGATTAAGAGAGAAAGAAAAAGAGTCTTAAAGCTTAAGTTGAGACTAAGAACTATTATAGTTTAGAATGATATGATATGATATATTTATGTATATGTATATATATATATATATAAAGAGATTAATAGTGATTCTAGTAGGATTTGAACTTGTTAATTTTTTAATCCGAGTAGGAATTCTCAATTTGAGTAGCATTCATATATACTTCTATAAAATTTAATATATATATAACTAGGAATTGGGCATTATATATATAATATATATAATGTATCCCTGAAGCACAACACTAATTGATAGTTTGCATGAATAATTGATGTCATACATATATTTCTTCGGAGTAGATAATTTCATATATATATATATATATACACACACATATATACACACGCACAGACATGTTTAACGATAAAATATTTGTCTTTATTGGACAATAAACACTGTAGTATATATGAATGCAGTAATGTATCTTGGACTTACAAGGATAATTCAAACCGATCGTCCCCATGAAATGGAAAACATAACATTTTCAAGTTTCAATAGCCAAGCACACACAGACACGAACACTATATATATATATATATAATATCTATCTATTCGATTGTCTTGTGTGGAAGAACAAATTTGTCAGTAGGTAAAGTGAGAACTAGTGAGATTATCCACACAAAAAAAAGCATGAATGGCCACAGATATTCTCAAAAATATATATACATATATAAAATTATTATAAAACTCCAAAACTTGTTCCCGTGATTTGAAAACTCATGCATTACACATTGGTTAATGTTTATTGGTACACGTATACTCTGTATTATTTGGATTCACACACACACATATATATATATATATATATATATATATATCTCTTGAGGTTCTAGGCTTTTCCATGCGCCTATAAATAGATGGCAAATCTTTACCTCTGAAAACCAGAAACAAGAAAGTTATTACCCAGAAGAAAGAAAACTAAGCAAAATGGAACTACCGAGGTACGTCGTGATCAAATCACCCGAAAACCAGAAATATCTCCGGTACATCTACGAAGATATTCAGGTGCATGGTCTTCTCCAGTTCTCCGGAGAAGAAGTCGTGAGTCCTTACGTCAAGTTCGAGGTTGAACCGGCAAAGATCGGGAAAGGACTAGTCCATATAAGGTGCTGTTACAATAACAAATACTGGGTAAGATGGACTGACAAAAACTACTGGATTGTTTCTGCAGCGGATCATCCGGAAGAAGACGACTCGAAATGGAACTGTACTTTGTTCAAACCCATCGTCGTTGATGGTGATCTTCAGAACGTGAGACTCTTACACGTTCAACTCAATCAATACTGTGGTTTATGGTGGACCAACACACACCATAACAAATGCTTGTTCGCCGGAGCGAAAACACCAGACCAATACCCTGTAACAAAAATTGCAGTTCTCGACTGGGAATCATTTCTGATATTTCCTAAACATGTTGCCTTCAAAGGTGACAATGGTTTGTTTCTCAGTGCTCGATGGATCAATGGACTCCCTCATCATGAATTCGCCATAGACGATGTGGGACATCCCTCGGTGGGATACGAGATTTTCACAACTCATGATGGGTCCATCCGGGTCAAGTCTGATTACTTTGGTAAATTCTTGGCTCGTCGTAGATACGACTGGTTATTAGCTGATGTAAATGAAGATGATAAAACTCCCGACAGCCTTTTCTGGCCTGTCAAAGTTGATACCAACATCGTCGCGCTTAAAAACTTGGGTAATAATTTTTTCTGCAAGCGACTCACGGCTGAAGGCAAGACGAATTGTCTAAACGCCGCCGTTCCGACGATTGCTAGAGAGGCACGACTGGAGGTTGTTGAACTGGTGGTTTCCCGGCAGATCTATAACGTAAACTTCCGTCTCCTCGATGCTCGGATCTATAACGAGAAACCTATTAGCATGACGAAGGGATATGCAGTGAACAGTTCAAGTCAATCCAATGAAGCTGAAGTGAAGTTGACTTACACAGAGACCACGAGCAGTACATGGAACGCCAGCGTTTCGCTGAAACTTGGTGTTCATACCACCATCAAAACTGGAATACCATTTATAGCGGAAGGTCAGATTGATATCTCGGCGGATTTGGAAGGATCATACGAGTGGGGGAAAACCAGAGAAGAATCGAAAGTGATCGAGACTGTTTACAAGGTCACCGTGCCCCCGAATACTAAAATGACGATCACCTTGCTGGCGACGAAAGGTTCCTGCGACGTCCCATTTTCGTATTCTCAGCGGGACACTCTGACGAACGGAATGCAAGTCACCCGCTACCTGCACGACGGGATTTACACAGGTATCAATTGCTTCAATTTCAAGTACGAGACTAAAGAAGAGAAGCTGTGATACTACGACGTCGTATTTGGGAGCTTGTATGGTCTAAATATAAATAAATAAATGAATAAGGTGTACCATACGGCTTGATATGCTAAATAATAAATAAATAAATAAATAAAGCGGATTAAATAGTCCCACTTATATATTATGTTTTGTTTACAAATTACTTTTAAATATATGTTTTATTTTTAAGAAATTTCTTGTATTGATATTAGTATACATATGCATAATATAATATAACATATATATTTTGATTATATGAAATATTAAATTATTTATTTATAGCAACAATGAAAAACGAAATTAGTATCGAAAAATCTTTTGTGTACCCACTAAACTTTACGAGAGGCAAAAGAAAAAATATAATAGTTAAAAATTTTACGAGAAATTCTCTTTAAATTTATTATCAAGAAGTTAAATTTTAATCTTAAAAGACTTGACAAATGTATTGTAAGACCAAATACACTCGAGATTATTCGTTCTTATTATTAGACGATTTAACTAAAATTTATATTCTCGTAATATTATGATATTTAAATAAAAATAAAATTAAAATAAGATATTTTAAATTATTCTTAAAATTTTTTAAAATATTATATAATTCTTTCAATTTCTTTGTAGTATAACCGATAATATTTTTATGTTTATGAGTTGCATTTGATTCTATCATATGATATTTTTATATGTTAAACACTTATTTTCCATTCCCTTATAAGATTTGATCATTAAAACATTACCATGAAAAGATAAAAACGAGTAGTCTATGTAAATTATGAAAAAAAATTTAATTGTCTTATCTTCGTTAAACATGTTGTATTGCTTACTTGTAAAATCACTCATATATATATATGTAAATTATGGTGTATGATTCATATATATATATATATAAGTAAACTTTTTAAAAAAGAAAATTATATATATATATAACATTAGGATTCAGACATTATATATATAGATATATATAATGCATCCCTGAGACACAACACTAATTTTTATTAACATATATATAATTAGTATTACTTAATATATATAATGTTTCTTCAAGTCTTTTTAAGTCAACAATAATGTAACTTGCACTAACATGAATAATTCAACCGATCTTCCCAGTAAATTGGAAAACATAGCATTTGGAAGTTTCTGTGGCGCCACACACACATTATCGTACAGACACACACACACACACACACACACACTATATATATATATATATATATATATTATCTGTCTATTCAATTATCTTGTCTGTAATAAAAGCTTGTCAGCAGGGGAAATGGGAAGTAATAAATTATTCAGAAAATAATGAATGGTCACGGATATTTCCAATTGATTAATCTAAGACTTGGACACATTTGCATTCACACATACATATACGCCTATGAATACATAGCAAATCTTTACCTGTGGAAACCAGAAGCAAGAAATTGATTTCCAAGAAGAAAGAACACTAAGCAAAATGGAACTGCCGAGGTACGTCGTGATCAAATCACCCGAAAACCAGAAATATCTCCGATACATCCACGAAGATGTTCAGGTGCATGGTCTTCTCCAGTTCTCCGGAGTTGGAAGCCGTGAGTCCACACGTCAAGTTCGAGGTTGAACCGGCGAAGATCGGGAAAGGATTAGTCCATATAAGACGCTGTTACAATAACAAATACTGGGTAAGATTAAAAACTTGGGTAATAATTTTTTCTGCAAGCGACTCACGGATGAAGACAAGACGAATTGTCTAAACGCCGCCGTTCCGACGATTGCTAGAGAGGCACGACTGGAAGTTGTTGAACTGTTGGTTTCCCGGCAGATCTATAACGTAAATTTTCGTCTTCTCGATGCTCGCATCTATAACGAGAAACCCCTTAGCATGACGAAGGGTTGTGCAGTGAACAGATCAAGTCAACCCACTGAAGCTGAAGTGAAGTTGACTTACACAGAGACCACAAAACTGGTGTTCATACCACCATCAAAACTGGAATCCCATTTATAGCGGAAGGTCAGATTGATCTCTCGGCGGAGTTGGAGGGATCGTACGAGTGGGGGAAAACCAGAGAAGAATCGAAAGTGATCGAGACTGTTTACAAGGTCACTGTGCCGCCGAATACTAAAATGACGATCAGCTTGCTGGCTACCAAAGGTTCCTGCGACGTTCCATTTTCGTATTCTCCAGAGAAGAATCGAAAGTGATCGAGACTGTTTACAAGGTCACTGTGCCGCCGAATACTAAAATGACGATCAGCTTGCTGGCTACCAAAGGTTCCTGCGACGTTCCATTTTCGTATTCTCAGCGGGACACTCTGACGAACGGGATGCAAGTCACCCGCTACCTGCATGGCGGCATTTGCGCAGGAATCAATTGCTTCAACTTTAAGTACAAGACCAAAGAAGATAAGCTGTGATACTACGACGTCGTATTTGCCAGGAATAAAATTGCTTCAACTTTAAGTGCGAGACCAAAGAAAATAAGCTGTGATGCTACGACGTCGTATTTGCGAGTTTATATAGTTTAAATGAAAATAAATAAATAAGGAGGAGTAGATGCTTTTGTATGCTAAGTAATAATAAATAAATAAATAAATTGGACTATATGGTCCATTTTATATTATATGTTTTATTTACGAATTACATTTTATTTAAATTATTAATATTTCTTCTTATTATTATAAAATTGTAAATTTTATTCGATTTGCACATGATATATGTTTTATTTCTAAGAAGTTTGTTCTAATAAAATTAGTGTATCTATGAATAATATAATATAATATATATTGATTATATTAAACTTAAATTATTTATTGTTTATCTACCAAACCTAGAAGATAAAGAGAAAATGTAACTCTCTCTATGCCAACATAATCAAATCGTTTAACATTATTTATAGAAGACTTGACGGGAATATTACAAGACTTAAATAAAACAACTAATGAACTAATTTTTTTTTTTAAATAAATTATTTGAATTTTAAAAACGTAAATCATACTCACCTTTTAGGTTCTTAAATACGATTTATAAATTCAGTAATCAATATAGCAATTTATTTCACAATTAAATAAATAAAATAATGAACATTACATTTTTACCTACTACCGATACTTCTGGGATTCCATAGGAATTTTTTCATACGCGTGGACTCAATATCCAATTTATCAACTAACTGATCATCCCTATACCTCGTCCGGTAATCGACGCCAAAACGTACCACTGCCTTAATACTCCGCTCGGTATAAGGGTGAATAATACTTCTCAATCCCTTACTATATACAACTTTTCCGCTCCGTCCGACTGAGATAATGTTCACAGTAAGGTTTGCCTTATGTACTAAGTATGTACACAATTTCACGTTATCAACCAGCCACCAATTACACACAAATATTTCATATTTACAGATATATGGAACAACATTTAAACAGATAATATAAATTGATACTTTAACAATTAAAAAAACGTGATTAGGACATTCATTTCAAATCAATCAACAAATGAGAATAGTGGTTAAACAATCAATGACGAAAGGACAAATAAATCTATGAATTAAAGTATGCATGGTAAGCAACAATAACGACCAATCAATGAACAGTATATATAAAATAAATAATTCATACTGATCGACTACCAGCTCCACTGGTGACATGTATTTAATTAATTTAGAGATTTTTGATATTCACAAATTACACTGTTATTATTTATTAAATTTTAATTAACCGTAATGAAAAAAAAATGGTGAAAGATTCTTACTTTGGATCGGTGTTCGAAACACTGTCTTTTTCACTACACTTCCTGAGAGTTCTTAAGTTTCATGGATTTTTTCTAAAGAAATAAAAAACATGCGTCATGTATTCCAAAATACCCTAAAAAGGTAAAAAAATAATATTTTAAAATTTTCTGGCTGGGTTAGGGTTCAAGTACGGCGGCATTGCCGTGCTTCGGCGCCGGCTCCATCGCCCGTAGTGACATCTCCTCTCGACCTGGATGATTTCAGCCGATTTTAAGCCAATTTTGTATGAAACTTACAAAAAAATGAGGTTAGGAAATCTCTGTTGGCCGAAAAAGAAAAAAATTGAAACATTACCTGTAGAGGGATTTTTCAGTGCGGCGGCTCGGCCGTTCCTCTCTTGTGGTCGGGGATTTTCTTTGGTCGATATGCACCTGAAAAGGATTAGGAACACAATGGTCGAAAGATTGAAGGGAACGAGAATCGAGATTAAGCTCACCGAAGTGATTTTTTGGGTCGCGACTGCGACGGCTCGGTCGAGCTCCGCTCTCAGTTTCTAACTTTTTTTTTGGCTTTTTGGCTCTAATATGGGTGTATGGAGACTTGAAATCAAATTTTAAACGAAAAGGGAAGAAAAAGTTACCTCACTGGTGTCGGTGGTGGCCCCGGTGCGACCCTTCTTTTTTTATCTGGCGAGGACATGTGCTGCTAGGGTTAGGATTTTCTGGAAAGTGACAATTAAATACCCTCATCGCGTCTATCTGGGCCATCCATGCGAGGACACGTGACCTTCTCCCATATGTTAGATTGTTCTTATTTGGGAAATAAATCTGAGTTGCACGATTAGATTAAATCTGACCGTTTGATCGCGCGGTGAAGAGAAAACAGATCTATGTCGTCGTGCTCGCGGAAGGAGATTTGGGTCATTAGATCTGCTGGCATGCAGATCGCCCTTTGTGGCTTCCCGTGTGGACCCATGTCCACATGTCTGCCACATGGCGTACGACGACCAACCGCACTGTTGACGTGGTGGTCCACGTGGCCAAATTTTTATTAGTTTCACTTCTACCCTAATTTTCCAAATTTCTTTTCAAATAAGTCATCCCTTATTTACACATTGGCCTTAATTTTTATGATATTTTCAAATGCATTCAAAATACAATTTTTTTCAAAAAATTCAAATAAAATTTAAAAATAAAATTTTCTAATTTATTTTATTATTTTGATTTAATTATTCCAGGTATAAATTCCAGATCTGGGTGTTACATTTGATTATCAAAATATTATCACGAGTAGATACAAATGAGTAGTATATGTAAATATATGTTGCTCGGATTCTTTAATTTTACTATCATATTTTTGTTAGATATGTTATATTTGGTTTCAAAATTATAAAAAAAGATTATGAAATAACCTAAAAATTGGTTACTTGTAATCATAATGTAGTTTCCAATTTTTGTATTTAGAATTGAGAAACTAATATACACGCTTGCATATATATATATATATATATATATAAACTTCTTTAAGGAAAAAAATGTGATGACCTCGAAAATTCTAAATGAAATAAATTAAGAATTAAGTGCGAAAGCGAAATAAATAGTTAAGGTTTATATTCCTTACACAATAACTTAAAGTACCAAATAGTGTTAGGAGAATTATCCTTTTAGAATAACTATAAAAAATAAGGAAATAAATAAAAATTAAATAAAAATAGCATCATACTCGCAACCCTCTTGTAGATCGGGCTCTGATCCTTATTCTCTTGATCTGAAATGGTTAAATAATGAATGAGTTATACTAGCCCAGTAAGAATATTACATCAACTCACTGAAATGAAGATTGGTAGAAAATCAAAACAACTAATAGAGCACTTAATTAAACAAATGCATTTATTAATAATAAAACTATTTACCGTCCACTTAATATAGCGAGATTTATAAAAACAACCTATAGATATAATGACGTAGCACTTATCATGATTTCATATGTAATCGGTAAGATGCATATATTATAAGTCCATATTCAATAAATCAAATAACTGTCACTTTCCATTAGCCTGCTGGTATCCATAGAGGTTCATAAGGATGTCTCTACTACGCGTGAACCATTTTCTTTAACATTCTCAATTACAAGCCGTCCCCATACCTCGTTTGGTATGAACGCCAAATTATTAAACCTCAAAACTGCATCCGGTATGAGGGTGAAACGAGTCGTTTCCATACCCCGTCCGGTATGAACGTCAAATTACCAAGTCTCGATACTCCATATGGTATGAAACAACATTCACGGTAGGATTTTCTATTGTACTCGATTCGTCCACC